GCGAAGCGGCAGTTTGCGCAAGCAAACGGGCGCGGATTCGGTAGTGCAACATATACAGCACCTTTTTCAGAGTAAAGTCAAATTACAAAGTTGCGCAAAGTATAACATACATAAACTTAATTAAACATAAGAACAGATAAGACGTTTAGAGCCTTGTCGGTGACATGGACGCCGCTGTTGGCTTGGAACAGCTATTTGCTGTGCATAGGGACGTGCCCGCGTTAGCCGTGTTGCAACAGCTCTGGGTGGATTTCAGCCAGCAACAGCCTCAAGAGCTGCTGCACAACCACCGGGAATGTCTTCAGTTGGGCACGTGTAGTTTTGGTCGGCGGGGTCGCATTGCGCACAGAAACCAAGGTGCAGCGTCTCTGTAACATCGCCAACATATCCGGTACGCGGTGGCAGGCTTGCCGAGCACGAAATGAAGGGGGGGTCGCATCTCACCATTCAACTAAGCATGCATATGCTCGGTTGAATGCTCGGTAGCGTGCGAGTTTACCCCTATCAGGATGTTTGTTTGCATATCCCTCCAAGCGAGAGGGCTTGGACCTATGCTGATGTTCGTTCCAAGAAGTGAACTGAGGACTGATGCTACGTAAATTCGCCCGTGCGCCAAACGCCCTGTAACTCGCTTACGCTAATCTCACATTCCAATATGCCACTGCACTTTCCTCTCCAGCCTGGCCACATTCTCTTCCTCGCAAACGTACTTGGGCACCTTACAATCCAACACCATACGTGCGTTGGAAACGCGGGCAGCTGCTTCACAAGGACCCCCCTATTTGACCCCCATCGACATTTCACATTATTGCGGTGCAACGACACAAGAGTAAAATCTGCGACCCTTGTCGTACATATAGGACTGGAATAGGAATCCAATGCAATTTATCGCGCTAAATTCCGTCAACCACCGAATTTCTGAGGCTCTTAGGAAGGCAAAACTATTGGAATTAGGCGATCGCACCTGTAGCCGTGGTCTTGCAACCAGAGGCAACCATACCTCCGAACGGCCGCTACGTGGCCTGCCACGTCCCTTTTGAGCCCGACTCTTGTTCATATCCAGAGGTCAGCAAATCGATTTTGACGGCTGCGGGAGGGCACAATAATGGTCAGTAAACCTAAGAAAAAATCCGAAGTCAAACACACCAGCGCGCGGCCCTACGGGCCGCAATAGAGGCTGCAAACCACGTTTTTCGGTCAAATTTTGGTGATAAGGGACCCGCAGCCGGGGCCTGAAGCCGAATTTCGGCTGCGGGTACTGTGGTACGGACCCGCAGGACCCGCCTTATTTGCCGACCTCTGTAAGTTGCCATCATGCAGGTGCATACACTGACATTATGCCTTGCCATTTTACATTCCAAGGACACGAGCAGAAGGAGAATCGCAAGGAACAGGACAAGCGCAAGGATGGT